CACACCATGCCCAACATTTTAGATATGTTGGTGTCTTAGTTAGAGTTTCTATTACTGTGATGAAACACCATGACCAAAAAGCAAGTTGGGGAAGAAAGGGTTTATTTGGCTTATATTTCCATATCACTGTTTGTCATCAATGGAGGTCAGGACAGGAACTCAAACCAGGGCAGGAACCTGGAAGCAGCAGCTGATGCAGAGGCCATGGAGGAGTGCTGCTTACTGGCTTGCTCCTCCTGGCTTGCTCAGCCTGCTTTTTTTATATATATATATATATATAAAATCCAGGACCACCAATTCAAGAATGGGGCCACCCACAATGGTCTGTGTCCTCCCCCATCAATTACTAAGAAATTGCCTTTACAGGCCTGCCTACAATTTATGGAGGCATTTTCTTAATTGATGCTCCCTCCTGACTTTAGCTTGTGTCAAGTTGACATGAAACTCTCCAGAACAGGTGGATATAACAACTGGGGATTCAAACTTAGGTCCTAAAGCTCCCCGTGCAAGCACTTTACTGAGCTGTTTTCTCAGACCCTAGTCCAGCTTAGCTATGTCCTTTTAGTTTGATATTTTATTGTCGAAATTGGGCATTTGAGTTTGCTCTTTTCAAATCTAATATAATAGGTTTGAGACATAGAAACATATAGCCAAACACTTCCACCTGTGAATTCCAGAAGACACTGTGTCCACATTCCATTTGTCCTCTCCTCTTAGTACGAGAGGGCATGCTCTGAGCCAGGGAAGGCAGGTAGTACAGATACTAGAATTGAAAGAGCCTGAGTTGGACAGGGGGACAACTTTTTATTTTTTGTTTCTGGGCTTTTTTCCCATACTCATCACCCCAGGATTTCTAATCTCCTCCCCAAAGGGATCAGTTTTTTTTTTTTTTAAGATTTATTTACTATGGATACAGTATTCTTTCTGCTTGTATGCCTTCAGTCAGGAAGAGGGCACCAGATCTCATTACAGATGGTTGTGAGTCACCATGTGGTTGCTGGGAATTGAACTCAGGACCTCTGGAAGAGCAGCCAGTGCTCTTAACCTCTGAGCCATCTCTCCAGCCCCCAAGGGATCATTCTTTCTGCACTCTAAGTATGCTCTTAGAGTCAATCTACTATATATTCACATATCCAAATTCCTAAACAAAATTCATCCATCCATTTATGACCCAACCATCCATATATCCATCTATGCATCATCCATACTATCCATCCCTCCTCTCACACATGCATCTATATCTATCCATCTTTTCAACCATGCAGCCCTCCATTCACATCCATCCATCCATCCATCCATCCATCCATCTGGATCTATCATCTATTTATCATCTATCCATTCACACATTCATTAGTACATCTATCTGCCTGTTCAGCCATCTAGCTGTTTGTCTGTCTACCCATCTATCCAACCAGCATCAATGTCATAGGAACTCTCCGTCTGTGTGATGTGGACAAAAGGAACATATTCATAAAGCTCCCTCGTTGATGGGGTTGGTGGAACAATTACAGACATGCAAAGGAGCTATTTATGAAGCTCTAACCAAAATACATAAAACACTGTAGAATATGAGTATTGCCTTAATCACACACTCATTCACTCAACTAACACTTCCTAAGTGCTGAGATGTGCTAGGTTCTGTGTAGATACAAGACATGGTCCTTGCTTTCAGCATGCACTGTCTGGCCAGGGGGTCAGGCATCAGAAATGGTGGATTCATTACTGCCAGTTAAAGTAAGCAGGGGAATAACGGGGTGCAGAAGGTAACTGTGAATGCAGTGGCTAGCTTAGGATGGGTATGCCACCCAGACATGAACCCAGTGGTCTAGAGTCCAGCATGGGCATTAGTCCTTCTGCTCCTGAGCTGTAACCCTCCTACTCCTCCTCCCTGTTCACCTCCAGTCCTTGGCTAAGTGGAAACCCACCAGTCTGTTCGGCCTATACTCTTGCCTGACTTCTGGGCCGGGGAACACCAACAGGGAAGAGGCAGCAAGAACTGGAGCTCAAGAAAGCTGAGCTGAAGCAAGGAGGAAGGCTGAATAAGAACTAGACTGGGCTGAGTTGGGCATGGTGTTGGGATCTTCCCCAGACCTCAGAAGATGCTGTCCCTTCTCTCTGGAACCTCCCTCCGGCATGCCACCTATATCCTCAGATATGCTTAGTTCCTGCTCCTCCTGGGGCCTCTTTGCCCTCAGTCTCTTGCCCAGGTAAAGCCTCTGCCATGTCAACACATAGCATAGTAACTGACTTTGTTACTGTCTCAATGGATGTGAAGGGATTCTTATTGATCCTTAACAACTAGAACTAGGCCTGGCAACATACAAGATTCTGTCACATAAGCACCCACTGAGTGGATGGAGGATAGATGGGCGGGTAAAAGAGCAGACAAGTGAGTAGGCTGGTGGATGGGAGAATTAGCAAGACAGGCAGGTGAGTTCTAGAATAGTTCTATAGCCGCTCTGAGCCATCTGGTCCCCATGAGAAATCTTTCACCAACACTGGAGAAAGCCCAGGAAGCCTTATTCACTGGATTAGAATCCTCCAACCAATCTGTTGATTCCCTCCTCCCTTCCTGTCCTGAGAGTGACAGGTAATAGGTTGAGATGGTTTGGGCTTACATGCGTTGTGTAAAATAAAATAAAAACCAAAACAAAACAAAACAAAAACTCGATGTAGATCTCCTTTTAGACACCAAAGGTCATTTTGTTATAATTCATGATTTGGAGTTGATGGCTGGGGTGCAAGAGGGAGAGAGGAGGTGGGACAAGGTCTTACTCTGTAGTCCAGGCTGACCTGAAATTCACTATGCAGCCCAGGCTAGCCTCAAATTCCCAGCAGTTACCTTGCCTCAGCCTCCTAAGTACTGGAACTCCAGCAATGAGACACTGCCAGCAGGTCTAACAGTTCTTAACTGCTTCATGAGGATAGAAGAGCTCACTTTGTAGACCAGGCTGGCCCTGAATTTAACAGAGATCCACTTGCCTCTGCCTTCTAAGTGTTGGGATTAAAGGCATGTGCCACCACACCTGGGCCTTTTCCTGTTTTTTGTTTGTTTTTTGAGTGTAGAATATTTATTAGTAGTACCAAAAAGAGAGGATCAAATAATTACTAGAAGTTTAATCTTGTCGGCTTTAGTTTAAATTTAAAATGATGTTATTTTCCAATTCCCTGTTCTTAAAAAGCAAAAACTATAATCTCATCATTTTGGAATAGGTAGTGGCTATTTCTTAACACCTATCAGTCTTATGAAGTACCTGCTTAGCCCTAACACCCAGATCCCTGAACCCCAAACTTTGAGCCCTTATAGTTAATCATCAGGAGATGGCGGTATCCGGGGGGGCAAAAATGGCAGAGGGAGTGTTGTGCTGAGATTGGTCTAGTCAGGTACCCTCACAGGTGGCCTGGACACTTGCACACTCCCCCATAGGGATAAAGGTTCAGAATCTCCTCGCACTGAGACGACCTGGCTTTGAATGATAGAAGAACTCCAACTACTCAGGCTCTGAACTTGAAAAGCTAGTCCGAGCTGCCAGATGCTGAGGTCTGACCTGGGCAGCTACACCCTGCTGCAGAGACCCTCAGGCACCAAGATGCGTGAAATACTGTAAAGGCTGAGTGCCAAGAGCCTAGATTTTTTTTAAAAATAAGAGCAAATTAATAGGGAGCGACTTCTTGAAAAGCCGAGGAAAATGCTGCCGAGGCCCCTCACCACTCTTCATCCACTTTAGGGGGCAGAGGTTGAAGGTGATGCAGGACCATTAAGGCACAGCAGGAGGAATATCTGGTAACCCTTGGCTGTGCTGGAATCACCTCGGCATGAAAACACTGATCTCTAAAGTCAATGTACCGGGCAGAGGGTGGGGGAGGGGAGACCCGAGGAGGCTGGTGAACAGTGACATGAGACAGCTTGGTGAGTTTGTGGGAGGCTGGTGGATGGCAGAGACACTATGGTGCCTGTAGGATTCTGGGTTCTCTCCCCGGAACCTTGACCAGATCCAGGTATCTTCTGGGCCAACGAGCCTATTGGGAGTTAACAGTGGCCTTCTGTCCTGGCAAGGACTGTCACTTAGTGGGGCTTGTAATGACCTTCCCCACCTCCAAGGTCCACAAGCCCCAGCTCCAAACAAGCAGCTGTCACTGGCTTCTAGCTATATCCTGGGTGGAGAAAGGGGTGGTCCAGAGGGGATCCTGGCGAGGATGGCGCTGTAAGAGCCTACCACCTCAGACTGAGCGTCTCCTGAACAAAATGACCCAACTGGGCTGCTGTCCTGTCTACACAGACTGCTTCATTCCGAGACCCTCACTTAATCGTTTAGAGTTATTCCCCTTGCATGAAGGGACAGCAGGCAACTGTTGCTGTGATTGACACAGTCAACAAGCAGAGAACCACTACAATTCTGGGTTCTAGAGAGGCTTATTTCAGTAATGGGTATATGAAGGCCAGGGAATTAATTTCCGATCTCCTCTGCTTTCCCAGCCTTCCTGAGATCACTCACCTGGCCTTGCCCTGTCTGCCTTGCTCAGCATTTAAAAGCACGTTTGTGATCTAGAGACTGAATGTCTCCGGTCACATCTACATTAACGAGGCTTGAAAACAAATGCAGATTTTTCAGAATCCCGAAGGTTACGACACTCTTATATTTCATTTGAAATTTCTCAATGATTTTGCCCAATGGCTTCCTGTGGACAGCCATACACGAGGTCGGTGCTACTCCATGGCCTATCTGCCCTTCGAGATCCATCTCATCCAGGGGTTCTCAGCCTACTTCCGCCTGGTGCTCAGACCAAGACAGCGATGTAGGCTCTGGATCATGGAAAGCCCAATAGCCCTGTTCAGTCTTTTTGGGAGGTGGAAGGAGGGATGCATGGGTATAGGGCTGCGTGATGCGATGCTGCCCAGGTTCCAGAACGCAAGTGGACCCACCATAGTCCCCACTTTCCCAGGCGTGACTGACACACTGGGGGGGGGGAAGGTAATTAAGACACAACAATCAAACCAACCTTTTTAAATAGTAACTTTTAAAAATATAAAAACAGCTCATTACAATGACTTTTCAATTTTCTTTTCTCTTCAGGAATAACTCTCTTCCACCCTCCCGCTCCTGGCTAGAACCTTACCAAGTGGTGGCCAGGGACCATCTGAAACCCAGAGACAGATGGGCAGACTCCAGACAGGCATGGCACACCTCTCTCAGGAAGGCGCAGGGTGCCATGGCCTTTTCATGTCCCAACACCCATCCTGTTGGGGGCAGCCACTCAGCTGGAACACTGGAGATGGGCAGGTTTCACAGGCGTTCTTCCTTCCTACATCGAGTCCCACATTATAAAATAATCCATAAAAATGCAATATAAAAACTCTCTTCCATATGCTACATCCATGGAGAGCCCACCAGCAGAGCTCACACGGTCTTTAGCTTTTCTTTAATAAAACAACAAAAGACCAAAACCAAATAAAACAAACCTAATACCACAAACATCGGTACCCAAGGGGCAATACCTGCGGATGACAGTCCATCTGCCCAAGCCTATGACGGCTGCAGGTTAGCACAGTGCGCCAGGCTGTGGGCCCTCAGCCCTGCCCAGGAGTGGGAAGAGAACCCATCTTCTCAGACTCAGACATGGGCGTTCCCGCTTCACCCCTTCAGGGAGTAGTAGAAAGGGCAAAAAGCAGGAAAGGGGAGAAGGCATCTTATGAAAGGATATCACTTCTAATTCTTTTTATTCAAATTAAAAAAAAAAAAGCACCCACACCAGCTGCTGTTTTTCTCTGGTAGCTCCCTGAGCTGAGTCGCTGTGTCCCCCAACCCCCGATATGGAATCCTTTCTAGGCTGCTCTGGAGGAGTCCGAGAGGGAGCCCCTTGAACTTCCATTCCTCTTCACAATGATTGAGTGTGCACCAAAGAGAAAGACGGGGCCCGGGGGGGGGGGGGGAACAGAAAGAGAGATGGGGAGAAGGCAAGGGAAGAGGCAGACAGAGAAGAGGAATCCACAGGAAACCCTCGCTGTTCCTGTGGATGATAGCCCAGGCTGGCCCATCCCAGTACTGAGTTTGCTTGTCCATCTGCCTATCACTCCATCGTTACATGCCCTGACTGGTGGTAAAACCCATGTGGAGGTATTCCCAATAGGCCAGGCTGATCTGGCCATCCCCAGGAATTCCCCGACCCCACTTTCTCTTTCTGCCTACCTTCCCCACAGGAACATTTGTTAAAAAATAAAATAAAATAAAAGAGAAGAAAGAAAGAAAGAAAAGCCACCACCATGAGTGGATTACAAATACAGCAGGCAAAAATACACGGCGAGCATCGGTGGGAAGGGGCCTCCTCCCTCGCTGGCCGGTCAGCAACCACAGTCTCTTATTTACACTGTTCATAAACCTCGTGCACTGCACAATCAGAAAATGAGGCACCCCTCCCCAGAACAACAATGTGGTCTACTCCAGTGTCCCCCACCCCAGAGCAGGGAGGGGACAGGTCAGAAAGGGGACAAAGAGACAGACTCATGAGGGTGTCTGTGGGGGCGGGGAATGGAAGCAGAAGCCTCCAGATAAATCTGTTTGAAGTATCTGCCAGCACTGGTAAGGGGGAGAAGAGAAAGTCCGTCGAGTCTGTCAGACACATCAATCCACAAAGGGGCGTGTGTCCTCTCCGGCTTCTGGAGTGCACCCCACGCTGCTGCTCCCCCATTCCACTGCCATTCTCAGGGGCCTGGCCAGCGTCTCCCTGTCAGGGCTGCGTGGGTGTCTCCCAGAGTTTGACAGGCCTGTTAGAGTCCTTGTTCAGTAGATGACCTCGTAAACTGTGGCCTTCTTGTCACCAGAGCCCGTTACAATGTATTTGTCATCTGCTGAAATGTCACAGCTCAAGACAGATGAGGATTCCTTAGACTGGAGGAGGAAAGACACGGAGAAAGAGAAAGACAATTAGTGTGGGGAGCAAATAGACAGGAATTCACTCCGGGTACACCCTGGCACTCCGGGGCTCGGAGCAAAATCACCTCCCACTCTCCAGCTCAGGCTGGAGCAGTACTGCTGGAGAGAGGCCTACCTCCCCTCGGGCTCAGTGAGTCCCCTCCCACCTGCCTCTCCTGAGCTGGCTTTAGTATGAAGGTTGGTAGAAGGATAAGGGATGAAGGATGAAATCGGGACACTTAGCATGAGCATCTCTGAGTTTACTGGTGAGAAGGAGCATTTCCGAGCCACAGCAGCATCAAGAGACGGACTCTTGGCTGGACCAGCCAGGAAGACTGGGATGAACATAACCAGAAACCTCCCTCAACATAACTAGAAACCTCCCAAGGGACATGCAGGGCATATGGGACCAGACATCTGAGCGGGGAGCTGTAAGTGGTTTGCTGTGTGTGTTTGATTGTGTGTGTTTAAGAACAAGAGTGACTGAAGAAAAATTTGACAGCGAGTGGTTATGAGTTTATACTGTAGAGGGAAGTGTGCGTGAGATGGAGGGAGGGGGCTCTGGATCTTTAAAACCTGTAAAAAATGCATGTTCATGCTAATGCCACTTCACACTGATGGCTTGGGGTGGCCATCCTAACCTGAACGGGTTTCATTGGATGAAATGGCTACTTCATGGAGCCAGCCACGTTCACTTTATTTTACTCTCCAGATGCTCTTACCCTGGGGTGGGGGTGTGGGATCACAACAGAGTGTGCCTCACTCTAGCCCCCACATCCTCCCCATCCAGCAGGGGCCAGGCAGGGATGAGCCAGGTCTGTTCCTAGCTCCAGAGTGGTCCTATCCTGCCTCCTGCTGCCCTCCCCCATCCCTGTGGCCACCTACTGACTCAGATGAGTCTGGAGAATAAGATAAGAAGGGCGTACCTGGAAGATGCTGGCTCCATAGGGCGTCCTCCAGGCATTGAGAAGGTTGTCTTTCCCAGTGCTCACAAACCACTTCCCTGCAAGCAGAGGTAAAGGAACCCTCAGACTGTGGCTTGATGCTGGGCACAGCAGGACCCACCCCAGATGTGTCTGCCCATGACGGAAACACCCTCAGACATGCTGAACCAGGTCTTAGAGCTTACTGTTCTTCACTCCTGAAAAGCAGTTACAGCAAGGCTCATAGATACCTAAAGGATGCCCTTTTCTACTGTCCAGGGAGGTGTGTGTGTGTGGGGGGGGGGGGAGAGTCAGGAGGAGCCAGAACAAGAAAGTAAGACTCAATGAACAGAGTTTAGTGTTTCTCCCCACAAGATCCCCCACCGAAGGCACCCAGGCCAGCTATCTACGGTGACGGCAAGCACCAGAAAACAGCGAAAACCCAACAGTGTGGAGAACCAGCCGTCAGAGAAGACTCCCCGGCAAGTGGGCTCCTGGATGTGGTTCCTATCATCCCCCAAAGCCCCATGCTTTTCCTAGCCAGTTTCTCTGGGGCTAAGAGTTGGCACCACGCGTCCACAGCTGCACAAAAGCTGTGGCCACAACGTTCAGAGAAGATCCAGGTCAACACAAGAGGGCTCTGGCCTCCTGCCCTGTGAGTTCAGGGCCCCAGGGTAACATCTGTATCCAAGGCACAAGGATGGGGGATAAGACACCTCTCCCATAAAGGGCATTGTAGGGGCATGGGCTCAGTTCACTCAGAGACCGTGGATTGCACTCTTTCCCCACCCTTTAGCGGACCAGGCTGCCCACACTGGCTCCCATGCCAGGCTGGGGCCCCAGGCCTTACCGCAGTAGGCGAATTTGAGGGACAGCACGCAGCTCTCATGCAGGTGCAGCTGATACTTGTCCGGCTTGGTGTGGTGCAGGACCTCCACATTGCTGCTCTCCATGCCCACGGCCAGCCACTCCCCCGTGGGACAGTAGCCCAGGGAGAAGATCTGATGGGACAAACACCGTAGTGACCCCTCTGCCCCTCCTTTGGCAAGGTCGGACCCTCCTCACTCCACCCCCAGCACTTACAAACCACGCCCAGTAGCCAGTTCCCTGTGCCCCCCCCTTGGGGGGGCGTCATTTGCACCTCAGTTGGCTGTGAGGGCAGAGCAGGAGGGAGGTGCACTTCACTGACCCTGCAAGCTGCCCTCACTCCTTAGGAAATTGGCAACTACCACACTCTACGTCAAGGTACTGAGTGCTAAAATAATGAAGCAAGTCTAACGGCAAGAAATACCAAGGATCACGGTCAAGGTTTTTCGGCCTTGAGTCAGATGCTCACACCAGAGGTGGGAGGGAGCCATAAGCAAACCGAGGAACACAGGGAGCAAGCTGAGGAACTAGGATGAGTCAAGGGGGTTCATTTCTAAGGCCATGCCCACGCTACACTACTACTGCTTCTTCCAAGGAAATCTTCCCAGCTGGCTCATGATGGTCCCTTGGCAATCACGACCCTGTGTGGTCCCTCTCTCCGCTGACAGGTTCTAGGGCCTGAGAGAGAAGGGAACACAGTGCCTGGGCTACCCACCTGGGAGGTGAAATCATGTTGCTGTAGCTGCCGCCCCTCACGCAGGTCCCAGGAGCGCACGGTGTTGTCCAGGCCTCCTGTCCATAGCTTAGTGCCATCATGAGAGATGTCTATACAGCTGGCGCCATCTGTGTGGCCCTGGAACTGCCTAGGAAGGCCAAGCAAGGAAGAAGGGTGAGCCCCAGGAAGGCCCTGACTATGAATCATCCCAAGGAGTAGGGCAGCCCTGTAGCCAAGCTAGAGAGGAACTGGAGGCACAAAGGGCTGGCTTGCACGCCTCGAACCCTTGGACAGCAGGAAGCAGGGCTTGAGTACCAGGCCCCTCCTACTCCATTCAGGTTCCCCGAGAAAAGGGGTAACTCCCCGATTCCATATGTATCCAGGTGGGCACCTTGGTGTGCCCACTTTGCTCTAGAGAAGGTAATAGAGGGAAGGCAGAAAGATCCTATACGACTCTGTATAATGTTTAGGGTAGCAGGCCCTGCCTTTGGGGCACACTCCTCAGTCTAGTCTGGATAGTCTCTAACTAGCCTCCTCAGGCTATAGTCCAAAATGTGCCTCATGGGTAACACCGAGAAATGACTGTGGGCAGGCACGGCTGTCCACCACTGCACAGGGCAATATGACTCAGGAGGACACTGCACCACCCCCGGGTCACACCGGACCCAAGCGGGCAGCACATGATGTCTTGCGGGCAGGACACAAAGATCAGCAGTTCTGCCCCACCCGGGTCTCGCCGCTAAGCAACGCTGTTCTTTCTCCCACCCTCTGCCACCGCCACTCAAGCTGCTTTCCCAGAGCTGCTCCAAGCTCTGCACCCCCTCCCGTCCCCCAAGCTCCTCAAGGCGTCCTCCCTATCAGCTGCCCTTCGCCTTTGCACCTAACCACTCCTTACCCCTCCAGAGCTGAGCTCACGGGCTGGGGAGGTATAAATCCCCCTAGCTGCCCCCTTGCCAGCCTCACCTGACCAGGGTCTGGTTGTGTAGGTCCCACACGGCAATGTTCCCATCACTGCAGCAGGAGAAACACACTTTGGCATCAGGACTGATGGCCAGGGCATAACAGGCTGGAGCTGAGGAAGTCAGCTCAGCCTTGATGCGGGGAGTGGGCGAGGCCAGGTCCCAGATGGTGAGCGTGCTGGCCTCACCGCCGACGATGAGCGTGCGCCCATCAGGGAGAAGCTTGCACGAGCGGATGTAGTTATCCCTGTTCTGGAAGGAGAAGGACAGGGTTAAGGGTTACCCACCGTTTTCCCGTGGACCGAAAAGGCCACGTTAGGTAACTTAGCAGCTCTACTCAATTTCTCACGTCTTTCTCTAAAATCTTGAGTTTAAAGAGTCTCATTGTCATCTCCACTTGCAGATGCCCCAACTAGGGCTCAGAGAGGTTAGTCGGCTTACCCAAAGCTGTTCAGCTAACCCAGAGCTGAGCCTGGCCATAGGCCTAATGTCCTCCCCCACGGCTAGGTCTACCCCGCTCCCCTCCATGCTACAGAAGATGCCCATGGCCCCGAACTCTCACCAAGCAGTCCAGCTGGGAGATGGGACTCTTGCTGCCTGGCTGGCTGATGTCCCATATCTTCACGCAGCCCTTGCCACCTGTGTAGACGTGCCGGGTGGGGTTGCTGATGGTCACAGCACACACCACCTCTCCGTGACTGAGCGTGTTGATCTGCCGGGCATGCCTGGGAATTCCGGGGCCTGCTAGTGCATCATGGGGGAAGGGCACAGGCTGCATCTGCCCATCAGCGCTCACATGGAAGGAGTAAGCCCTGCAAGAAGGAGGTGGGTCACTCCTACCGTCCACCCCCTTCCAAGTCAATGTATAGACACACCATGATTATCTGCCCTGATTCCAAGCCCCTCTTCTCCTAAATCCCTTAAACCCAGGAGGCCCTTGGTAATAGAATTGCTCCAACAGGTTAGGACCTACATAATATTCCAACCTTGAATTTTATATCCTTGCACCAACCAGTTTCGGAGTTCCATGGGTGCTATGGAATACTGTTTCACATATGTGTGTGTGTGTGTGTCAGTAACATTAGGGATCCAGTTTGTTCTGCCCATGTTACTGTGGGTACCTTCTCAATGGCCATGGCCTTCTCATGGCTATTAAAGAACAGTGCCAGTTTCTATGTGCTATGCATGGCTCAACCTTCAATTTACCAATAACCCACAGTGCAGAGAGCAGGGGAACTCGAGGCAGGGAAGGAGCTGGAGTCTCTGCAGCAGGCAGAATGTGAAGAAGTCCCCAGGGCCTACATAGATCCATGCACTCTGCTTACAGGCACTCCGGTCCTCCCAGAGTCAAATACCCAGGCCTCAGCATCCCTCAGCTGCCCTGGCGGAGGGGGTTTCTGTGACTGAATTCCTTGGGTCATGACCTTGCCTAGGGCGCTGCATCCAGCAGGACCCTGTGCTCAGAGGATGGAGGGGGTATTATCATTGCCTACCCCGTGAGGCATGCAAAGAGAATAACCAAGTACTTACGGTTTCCCTCCAGGAATGGAGGCGAGACTTGAGGGCAAGCCCGTGGCCCGCATAGGGGGGTGAGGGTCAAAACCAACCTGTAAAGAAAAGAGTGGCTGAGTCATTTGGCCACCACATATTCCCCATGCTCTCCATGGCCACAATCATCTGGGTGAGCTACACCCTGTGGCTTCTCCACAACCAGATGACAGCATTGCTGAACAGAGCCCACGTCAGAGATGGCAAATGCCAGGAAGGCCAAGTGTCCTGCCAGGCTAGTAACACACAGGACAGCAATATAAACCCCATCTCTTGACCAGCATCCTCTGCTCTGCCAGACAGAGTGGGCCCGGCCCCATTTCTCGCCTTCCTGAGTGTGCTGTAAGCCTGTGAAGTAAGGCCACCCCAGGTACAGGAAATGTAGAGAGAAACTGTCCTGAAAAAGAAAAAGCTTTCTGCCAGCCTTAATCCTGTTTATCCCCAGTTACTGTCATCGCCAGCCCCACCTCACCAAAACCCTGTTACCTGGCCAGATGTCACTAAGCTCTCATTGGGACTCTCATCCCCTTTCAGGGTATAAGCCCTGGCCTCACACTAGAAAGGGCAGTCCAAGAGCTATCTTTAGTCACCTGAGACCAGCAGGCAGACAGCGTGAAGCCCAGGTCTGCCACCCAATACATAAACGCCTTCTCAAGCGGGTGCTCTCCCCTGGGCAGCTGTCAGGTGCACACACTGTGCTGGCTAGTTTTTTTGCCAACCTGACACAAGTTACAGTCATCGAAAATGAGGGACCCTCAACTGATAAAATGCCTCCATAAGAACCGGCTGTAAGGCCTTTTCTTAATTAGCAATTGGTGGGGCTGGGCCTTTGCCTCCCCAAGTTGCTTTATGTCACTGCTACAATAGAAACCCTAAGAAAACACACAAGGGTCCCTTCAGCATGCATGGACATGTACCACACCAACCCTGCCAGCTTCCCACTCCCTGCCCAATGCTCCCACCCCCCAAAAGGAGCCAAAAGGTCTACGTACAGCTCCAAAGCTCACCATTGGCGATCGGCCATAGGCGGCGGCTGCGGCAGCGGCGGCGGCGCTCATCTGGGGTGGGATGTTGTGTAGGCCGGCGTAAGCGCTAGGGCTGGTGAGGGAGCCATTCATCTCGTGGTGGCTCATCATGGCAAAGGGTGCTGCATAGGAGCTGGTGAGGGAGATAGGTGTGCGCAGGGCGGAGGCTGTGAGGAAGTCAATGAGGAGGGCATCAGTGGGGAGTGGGCATGAGAGAGGATGGGCGCCCCCTTCTGCTAGACAGAGCTGCGGCCACAGCCCTTCTGTATTTTGCAGCAGCCTACGATGAACCTATCCAACTGGATTCTGGACTTCAGAGCCAGAGGATGGGTTCATTTCTTTTCAAAGGGTAGCACATGAGGCCCAGGGAAGAGGGCCTCACAAAACTGTTAACAGAAGTGGACTTGTAGACTCTGATATACCAATGTCAAAGGTCTAGGCTTCTATTTCCTTAAGCCTGATGTTGAAGATCACAGTTGAAGAACTGTGAAGCACCAGCTTGAACACACTCCTCTGTTCTTCACTATTTGTTTGACCCCAGCCTGGCTAAGGACCAACCACCCGTCCCCCACCAGATCGACCCGGGCCCATGGTGCCTACCCATTATACCTATCGGGTCCATGCCTGGAGGTTTGCCCGGCATTGACCGGAGCCCTGGGGTCGTGCTGGTGCCTGGAGTTGGGGCATCATTCCTTGGCGTTGGTGTGTTGGATTTGAGCCCAGGTGTAGAAGATTTGTCATTCTGAGAAGGGGAGACAGAGACCAAGAGATGCCATGAGGATTCCTTTCTCCCGAGAGCTGGGCAAAATGCCCAGTCCTGATCCCACAATGAAGCCAAGCATGGGTTGAACAGAAGTCCCTACTTGGTAGGGATTGTGGTGAAGGTTCTAATTTAAAAGAAGGAACCAAGGCTCTGATACATTCAGCAGCGAGAGGCTCAGCCGGTGTGGGTTAATGACTTAAATGCAGCCAGTCCCAAAAGCCATGTTCTTTCCACCCCCCAACTCCCACCCTCCAAGTGGCACAGCTTGAGTTCCAGCCTCTGCTCACCTCCCATGTCCCTCCTTCCCTCCCCACATCTGACAGGTGCCAAGGCAGACCCCACATACATGACCAAGGTCTTTGGTCTTGGAGGAGGGCGTGCTACTGGAAGACGCCACCGAGGCCGGGCTGGTAGGGGCATCTTTCTTCAGACGGGCTTTGTCCAGCCCATTTTCAGGAGGGGAGTGTGCTGGGCTCACCCGCGGCGTCGCGGGGTCCTGAGAATGTTAAGTGTCACAGTTACAGAGTTCTGAAGCTGTAGGCAGCTGTCCCTGCCCTGGACATAGGAAGGCAGAGGACTTGGGTGGAAGGCAGTGGGCTCTTAACCTTAAGTTTGAGCCCTTCACCTCACAGGTGGGGTGAACAAGAACCTGGCGAGAGGGAGGAGTGAGCTGCCCCAGGGCCACATACAAGTCTAGAACACTAACTGGCACCTAGAAAACTATGGGAATTGAAGGCCACTAATGGTACCTGTCAACACCCCCACAAACAGCCATCACGCACCAAAGGACCACCTTGTCTTCCTGCTTCTCTGATACGCCGAGAACAGAGGCTCCATTGCTCGGACAGCAGAACACACCCTACCATGCCCCATCCCATCCCATCCAAGGGGCCCCTACAGCTGGGGCCACCCGTACCTCATTGGAGACGTCCACCACCAGGTCGTCACTTTTGTCACCGTCACTGTCCTGCAAGCAGAAGAGAAGCCAGACTGTCATTAAGAGCTCACATCGACTCCTGATCTGCTCAAGCAACCCTGCACCCACATCTTCCCCACACAAAGCCCAAAGCTCATGCTGTCTCTGCCTCTGTGCCCTCTGCCTTCTACGACCAGCACCCCAAGCAAGAACTGGCCTCTCTCCTGGGTTAGAAAGAACCCTCAGCCTCTGGGGATCTGGGGTAAGCAGTCTCATTATCTCAGATCTCAGCCCTGAGCTTTCTAAAGTCAGAACCCCCTTCCCAGCTGGTGTTCTGGCTGCAGTCATTCATAAGGCCAAGTCTCACATCTGCATTCCCGTTACTCTGGGGCGGGTGACTAGCTTCATTTCACAGTGCAGCTGAGCTTTGTGTAGCACGTTCACACAGGGCAGCCAGGAGGGCCAACGAGCTCTCTCTACTACAAGCCCCTCTAGTCTCAGATCTCACCCTTGTTCAGTCTGGCAATGGGACGTGTACACTCCCACTGGGATCTCAAAGGTCTGGGTCAAGCTATCAAGTTGTTATAAGCTGTGTCTTAGTGGCTGAATGCCTGAAGCAGTCTGTGAGGGCTGTGGGGCTCACACTCAGGTACACCAGGGAACTCGCTTTGAGCGTGGGTACGGCAGAGAACTGCCTAGAAAGAGCCTTCAGCTCTCCCCAGTCCCCACAAAGGCTGAGACAATTTCCTTGTCCATTTCTCTCCCCGAAGCCTCACCTGACCACTTCCTCTGGGCCCTGTCCCACTACCAGTCTCTGACTCAGTACCCAGCTGCCAGGGTTGGGGCCACAGCCCAGCACACAGCCCTATCCCATGATGCCGCTTGCTAACATACGTATCGGCTCAGGCTATCTTTCTCCTCCGCTTTCCGCTTCTTGGCTTCCATGCTGTAGTCGGCAGATCCCCGGTGCTTCTCGCTGGCCCGGAGGCTTTCTGAAGGCGACACCGAATTGTTCTAGAAGAGGAAGATCTTGAGGTCAATACTCCATGCTGAACGTGATATTGCACACAGCCTCCAAGTCGACAAGAGCAGACGACAAAGGGCCAGGAGGAGGAAGTGGGCAGACATCCTGTATCTGTAGATCCAGGATATTCCCAGGGTGCCTTGGGTCCCGGGGAGCTTCCCCAAACTAGCCTCCATTTTTGGAAACTAGGTGCTGCTTATCCAATAGTGAACCCTGCAGGGAGCAGGCTGTTTCCTGCTCTTAGGCCAAGTCCTGTCATTCAGTTTATTCAAAGGAGATGAATCTTGTAAGACCTGACCAAAAACAGGGACACAGACAGGAACATAGACAGGGGCACACATGGAACTCCCATTGTAAGTTCAGCAGGGATAGAGAAACAGGCGCTGGACTGCAGACAGAATCCTAAGTATAAAAGAGCAACTCCAGGGGCAACTCCAAGTCCCTGCTCCTTCACTGCCAAACCTCCAGCAAACTGAAGAGAAACCAGACCCATGAAGACACAAAGCTGGTGGGGCCACATTCTCTTGAAAAGATAGGACGCCCCCCTTCAGGGAGGGCACAAGTGTCCCGCACGGGCCATCCCTCTGCTGTTGCAGACCAAGCTATGGTCTCCAACAGAAGGCAGCCCTCAGGACATCCAGGGGTTCCATCCCTCCTAACCCCACCATGGTTTGAATGTGAAACACCCCCACAGGCTAATGTGTTAGAACACTTGGTCTCAGCTGATGGCACTGGAGAGGTCTTGGAACCTTCTGGATAGAGTCTGGTTGGCAGACACAAGGCCATAGAGGATTATGGGCAAGTTTCATCCTCACTGCAGCCATGACGTAGGTAGCCAGTGGCCTCACGCTTCTGCAGCCCCAGCCATAAGCTGCTCCTGGAACCCTAATGGACTGCACCTCCAAACCACGAGCCAAATAAATAGTCCGTCCTTGATCCAGTTATTTTATCACAGTGATAAGAAAAGTGACTAATAAACCTACCCACACTGAGAGTCAGGACGTCAGGAGTGAAGGAATAAATAAGGCATTTCCGTCCTCCCTGGGAGGTCAGAGAAGAGAGGGCCACAAGTCCTCAGCCAGAGGCAGGCTGAAGATGCGTGGAGTCACGTGGGAACGCGGAGCGAGAACTGCTCACAAAGAAGGGCACCGAAGGCGAGAGGGGTGATCTTTCCCCCATCTTACTAGAGCCCAGTGCTGGCCCAGGGACAAGGTTCACTGGGAGGGAACAGGATGGCCAGCAGGTGGATGGGTTTGGGGGAATGGTGCGGGAGGGAGGGAGCCAGCCGCAGAACTTAATTTCCTTTCCTAAGCCGGTTTTCTGGGCAGCCCTTCCCTGCCAAGTTTCTGCCTGAAGCAAATTAAAATGGCAGAGTTATCAAGCCTTGAAGAAAAAAAATGGAGGTTATAATGGAACTGCAGCTCAACCTTCCCCGCAGCCGGGCGAGCGGCGGCGAAGCGCGCACAGCCGCAATTCAATTAGTTGCTGCAAGCACAGGCAGAAAAAAAAAAAATCACCGTCATTTCATTTCATTTCCTCCGATGGTGGCGGCCACCCCGTGCTAAGCAGAAATGCTTCCAACCCCTCAGGCTGGCTGCCCCTGCGCAGGCGGGTGATGGAGAGGAGGGAGGGGACAGGGTGGCTGCTCGTGTTTCTCCTTGCGACCTAGTGCGAGAACAGGGAACTCTTTCTTCTCATGCAGTCAGGCTGAAAACCCTCGCCGCTACCGGAGAGTCATGTCAGGCATTTAGCGGCATCGATCCAGCCCGCCTCTGGTTGGCAGGCAGCCAAAAAACTAAGTATTTTTTATTGCTTCAGCTAGGCAAGGAAATATGAATGAAGCTACCTCTAATTGGACTCCAGACTAACCCCTCTGGGACAGCTTCCAGCCTGTCCACCCAGCCCCCTCCCCTCTCTGACACAGCTTTGTCCTTCCTGCCGGAGGCCTCGACTGTTGACAACCTGTTTTCCTAAGGCTGATTATTTCAATCTCCACCATCCAACACCACAGCCACGAGGACACAGCTCCCCCAGCCTCCCCCCCCCCGACCCCACTCTGAGCTACCCAGCCATAGGATGGCATGGAATTCAGTTCAGTTCATTCTTCAGTCCCTGTGTTGAGTCCGCCCAGATCAGATGCCAGGGAGCATTAGAGGGCAAAGGGCTGAACGCTTGGGAGTCTCTTTGGGTTTGTAGCAGAAAGCTTTCAAAGGGGCACAGGCCAAAAGTGAACAGGTATGGAGAGGAGGGCGTTGGGCTTCAACTGCCCACTTCCCGGAGAAGGCCAGCTCTGACCAAGTAAGGACCCCGGTTAGAAGAGGTCTTCCTATCGAAGCTGAGATTGAGAGGCTGTCTGAGTAGGGTAACTCCCATGGTATGCATAAGGAAACTGGGGTTCAGGCCAAGACACTACAACATCTCCTAAGGCTGAGACTGAATTGGGAGTAGGGGGAGCAGACACAACACAGATGGACACACACCTGTACCAGCCTTCTATGTAAGCAAACTGCCTCTCCAAAAGAGAAAAAGAAAAAAGAAAAAAAAAAAGCCACCGTTTAAGGATCAACACCAAAGCAATCAAAATGGATTTTCAGTTTTAATCTTTCCTTTCTTCTGTGTCATTCCTGAGCCCAAGGGGGCACCTGGGTTTCTAAGGACAGGCAGGGCAAGAAGAGACAGCCAGTTCATACTACGGGAGGTTTGAAAAGAGTCTGGGGGAGGGGAGGATGGGGAAGGAAGGCAGGTCAGGGCAAGGGAGCTTCCTGAGGAGGCTGCGGCCTGGATGGCTAGTTAACGGTCTGACATTCCAAGTCCTACTTAACATGAGGTAATAGCCAAAGCCATCCTAGAAGATTAGATGGTCCCGGATATGAGCATGGCGATGAGGAATAAAATAGCTTTGCTAATCGCTGGAGGATTTCTTTTTTTTTTTTATCCAGACTCCACTGCGCTTATTCAGAGGGCTTATTCACTTGAAACAGAACCTCGGAGCCTCAGTGTGATCAGAAAGATTTACAGCAAATCTCTGAGCTGGCAGACACGCAGGCGGCCTGGCCTTAATGCCTGCTTGCTAGCACTTTCTTAAACTGAGTAAAAACGCAGAGCAGAGAGAAACCTCAGGCACTGGAAGGAAGGAGGATTCAGGATAATGCTGGGAGCAAGCACCCAACCTATAGGGTTGATGAACCATGGCCCAGGAGACATGGGGACATACCAGGTTTTAAAAAGCCCCTTGGAAGACACAAGGCTGAGGGCTTCAGCAGACCACTTCTGCAAGGGGGAGTTAGAGCTCACTCAGGCAAGTGCCTACGCCCTGGAGAAATAATAGGCTTCCCTAACATAAGGTCACTTTCAACAGAGGCCAGCAACTCCTATCCCTAGCACTGGATCTGTAATGGAGACACTGTCGCCCGCACGTCAACCCTGAAGTCAGGTCGTCCGGCTTTGGGTACACATAAACAAATGGTAAACCCCCAGCTTCCACCCACTGAGCAGAGTGGGAAACTCTGGGGTTAGCTGTGGGCAGCACCAGCCACTTGCCAGGTTTGTAGTTCTAGGAACAAGCAAGCCCCCAGGCAGGCCTACCCACCTCCCATACCTGCCCCCACACCAAGATCCAGAGAACCCACACTTACCGCGCTGGACTCTCTCTCTTTGGGATGAGGAGGTCACGACAGGAAGAGGGTCAGGATCCCCAAGGAAAAGAAAAAGGAAAAAAAAAGGTAAAAGGTCACTCTCAACTCAGCTAACTTGTGATTTGTTAAAGCCATCTCTCAGTGGTTAGCCTGATGCTAGATCCCTGGGTGACAGTTCTCAACTTGGAAACTGGACATCTCATTTCTCATTCCAAAGTGGTCCCCTCCCACCAGGCCCCAGCTTGGCCTGGGAGGCCATCGTCATCTTCTCCCTGACAGTGTCAGAGGAGCCTTGGCTTGTTGGTCATTGTGCTTTCTGGAATCACGAGCAGGAGCTGAGAAGGTTATTGTTTTAAAAAAATTCAATGGAGTTTAGGAGTGACTTTTACTGTTTGTTTTCCTTAACATCATTCTCCGTTCCTTTGCCAAAAAGCCCCCAAATGCTTAAGCCTTTGGTTACACCAGTCCAGCTAAGCAGCGGCTCCCATGGTCCTTTCCTCCTCTGCCAAGAAGGGACAAAACAGTTGGCCCCTGGTTCCTAGGATACAGCATGGACTAGAGCTAGGATGGTTGACTCCTCCCCCAAAGTCTCTGGGAGCTGGGAAGATGTTGACCATGTGGCCCAGTAAACACCTAAAAGCCAAAAATATTAGCCCGCAACTTTATTAAGGGGCTGCTGGGACCAGATAGATCCTTTTGAACTCTGATGTCCTGTGGAGCCCTAAGAGTTCTGTTTCCTGCCTCTTCAGAACGGGACGGGTGAGAGTTCTGACTTCTCAACCTTCTAGTCGCCTCTGCTGGAGACCAGCTAAAACCTGCACTTAAAAATGGAGCACTACCTAATCTATGACAGGGTCTCGAGTACCCAGGGCTGACCTTGAACTCACTACAACAGCTGAGAATTACCATAACCTTCCGTGTTCTGCCTCCAACTCCTGGCCTTACAGCTGTGCACTTGCACCCTCAGCTTATATGGTGCCAAGGAATGAACTCCGGGCTCAGGCATGCTAGGCAGAATCCCTCCAACTGAGCAACATCCCTAGCAGTGCTTTGAGGACTGACTGCGTACCTCTTCCAAGGCTTCTGCACTGCTAGGAACCTAATGAGATAGAGGAAGAGAGCAACCAAAGGCTACAACGGGGCCCCAACTCAAGCTCTTTTGAAAAGAACGGCCCTCTTCCAATCTTGAAAGCATCCTGAAGGACATGCTGGGCTGGCTCTCAAGACAGGCAGGGTGCTATTGGGAAGATGGCAGCTGTTGTAGATAAACAGACTGCTTCTAGGGCAGGTCACCAGGCCTAAGGACTCAACAGATGGCTCCAAGTCTTGGCTAACTCCAGACTCTAGGTGACAGCACTCGCCATTCACTTGTCCCTCTAGTGTGTTGTCATCCAGCCCCAGCCCATCCTGCCCACACCAGCCCACCCAGAGCCACACCTCTGTGATCCAGTTCATGGTGGTTCTTCTCATCCTTCACCGCCAAGTGGGCTTGGCTGCCCAGGGCACCAAGTGCCAGCAGCCCAGAGCTGCTTCCTGTCACTGGGGGGATCCCAGGAGGTTGGAGGCCTGACGGGTGGGGTGGCAGCTGGACCGGGGGACCATGTGTGGCATGGGAGAGGTGCTGTGCCTGGAGTTGCTGCTGCTGCAATGAAGTTGGTGGTAAGTGATGGCAAGCAGGACACAGCAGAGGTGATGCTCTGCCCTCCCTCCCGCTCCTCCACCAGGAAGCGACAGGGAACACCCCCCCCCCGCCCCGCCTCCACTTGCCCCCTCAGTGCCCACATGCTCATCTTGCTGAACAAAATCTGTTAATGGACTGCAACGTAGAAGATTTATGTCTTCCAGTTTCAGCCCCCAGCTCCAATCTCAGGACAGTTTCCCATGCCCGGTTTCAAGCCCAAGATAAATAATGCATGCATTTAAAACCCACACGGTCACCAGGGCTTCCTTTCAATGGAGAGGAATCCATTTCTAAGCTCATAGCTCATGCATACATGCCTTTAACATCAGCAGCCAGCACCTCCCACCCAAAGCTGGAACCTGGGCAAAGCCTCCATGATTCTAAAGAAGCCCAAGGCTTGGAGAGTGGGGACAGGCTAGGCCAGAGCAGAGGAGTACCAGGACTGGGGGGATAAAAGCTGATGTCCTCGCTCATCAGAGAACACAGAAAGAACCACAGAACTGGGAACAGCGGAGCCTTTGAAACCAGATGGATCAGGAGTCATGTCCTGGTACTTATTATCTGTGTGGCTGGGGCAGGGATTCGACTCCCTGAGCCTTAAATTTCCTCATCTGCACTAGGCGGGGGGGGGGGGGGAGCACCTACTGCAGGGGACTACAGTAAGGTAATGGGGGCTTGGACACACAGCCACTGCTCAATGGGCTTCCTGGCAGTCCCTGGCACTTCCTCGGGATTCTCACAGCGCTCTCCAACTGTCCTAAGAACCTTAGTACTCCCAGTCACATGCACACAACAGTCATTCTCCCTCTCCTCCCCACACCTAACCCAGGACTCTGCTGCCTGACACCTCTTCTCATGGCCAGCACCAAAATTCCCCATCATCTCATTTTGCCCCCAAACCCAAGCTCCTACCTAGCTCAGAGGCTTCCAAGCTCCCCCAGCAGCCAAGACAGACTGTTCCCTTATTTATAAGACTATGCCAAGAACCACTGGCACTGAGGAACAGGTTATATGTATCAAATATTTCTCGGGACTGGCTGGGACCTTGGGTATGCTTGTCTCCCACCCACGCACACATCTTTCTTTTTGACTAGCCTAAGAGAAAGCAACCAAGGCCACCTGTATGTGCATATACATCCCTGGGCACTATCCAAAGAGATCCTATAATTCTGGCAGTCACTCAGGAGAGGAAGGGTTGTGCCCATTTTACAGACCACAAACTGATACAGGGCCACTGGAGTGAACAGCCCAAGTCTCATGACCCCTAAATAGGATCTGAACTCTTCTCTGTCAACCACTAACATCATCTACAGAGTATTCCAAAGAACTTCAAAGCAAGAGGAAGGAGGTGAGGAAGATACACAGCAAGAGGTAACAAGCCAAGACATCACTACAGACTGAGGGAGCTCGTACCTGCCATGGTGAAACAACCGCTCTCAAGTCAACAGGCCCGGGGGAATCCCTACAGGTGTTTGGGCAAGGATTAAAAGCTTCCACACTCCCCTCAGACTGCTGAACCAGCTCTAACTCCAAGTCAAGCCTTAAACTTCTGGCCCAGACGCTACATTCCTTAGCTATTTTAGGATTGGCACCCACAGCCATTGCCCCGGACCACAGAGGATCTAAGATGACTCCCCCCACGCCCACTGTTAGGTACCTGTAAAAGCTTTTGGTGGCCAATGGCCTTAAGGGAGATGTGACTCTAGGTCTGCCAATGTCACAGCAGACCTAGGCTAAGGGAGCTTTGGGGGCAGAGTGGCAGGTGTGCCAGGCAGACTTTCAGTCCTCCTGGCTAAGACTGAACTCCTCTCAGACAGGGACTAAACACAGCTCCCCACCTTCCCTTTTAAAGAAAAGGAATTTTTAACATCCTCACAAAAATACACGTACTCATTGTAAAAAACTTTGTTTTGAAGATTTCCAAGTTTTGTTCTATCTAAGTTCTCCATTCATCCTACCCTCAGAAGCCACTGTCAGTCTGGAATCCAGATTTTTCAGGTTTACAATTGTCCATGTGACTCTCCACAAATGAGCGACCACACGGTTATATGACCTGATTTAAAAAGAGTTCTGAAAAAAAAAATTAAGTTTCCTTTTGAACGGCTATTTAGTATTCCACAGTCTGGCTGGACTACACAGCCTTATCTAGACACTGTTACAGAGTCTCCACTGGGGCCCTGCTGGCTTTAAACCCCTTGCTGGGGCGTCCTTTAGTTCTGTGGTGATAATTACTTAACAAAACCCCAGAAAGTAAGGACTTAGGTACTTAATCCACAGCGAATTGTGCAGAACTAGAAAAACAAGACTCCTTAAAGAGACAAAGCGGGGAGTTGTTGGCTGCAGACATGTGAGGCTATATGTAGATTAACCAAAGACCACGGATCTTCAAAAGATGTGTCCAAACACCTGGATTCTCGGCCTTTCCAGTCAGGTCTCTTCTCCCACTCCACTCTGCCCCGTCAAAGCAGATTCCTTCTTATTCTTCTGGTCAGAGGAAATTTCCTTTCCCAGACTGGAGAACTCAGACCCCGGAGTCAGGCAGAGCCGCAGGAGGTGGATTTCCAGCTCCAGCTCCCAGCGATGAGTCCCTGGACAAGTCATCTAACCTCTCTGGGCCCCATTTTCCTATAAAATGGACATCAAAATGAAGCTCACCCCTGGGTTGTGAGCTTTATTCCACTTTATTCCATTCTGGTTTATTCACATGATTCCACGGAAAAGCCAAGTTGGAGTGCAAAGCAACCTTAGCAAATGGGTGCAATCCACACCGTCGTCTTTAAGCAACTGACGGGTTTCAGGAAGACGGCCGTCTGTCGCATGATCCACCCAGGACCTCTAACAGTCCTGGCACGTCCCTCTGCCCACATTCTGGGTGAGTAAGTGAAACGCCGAAGGAGGTTAGCCGCAAAGAGGTAGGAAAATAAGTCAGCAGAGAGCCTTAACCAAAGGCTCCAGATGCGGCCTTGGAGGCCCAGGTGGAGGCAGCTGTTACAGCATCAGTGGGGCAGACAAGTATCCACAGGTAAATCCACAGCAGAAACTTGTGATAAAAGTTGTCAACGACTCAGAGATGGTCGCGGTGTTCCTCGGTGTCTCAGCAAGGAGTATCCTCCGTGACAGCGGCAAGAAGAGCAGCTGACTCCGTACAGCCAGAAAGCCCCATGCTCTCCTCGGGGTGGTCTGAAGGTTCCATCAGGGCAAGCCCAGAAGACTGCGGGCAGAGTGGCGGAAGAGCCGACCTGGAAATTCTCCCACAAGGCAAGAACAGATGCAAACGAATGCCAGGGCTCTTTGGGTGAAGGGTCTAACAGCGGTGGTCGTGGTGACAATACAGAGTGAAGCCACGTTTTCTCCTTGATGGGGCCAGGAACAGTTGGCAATGATATGGCTCTCAGGCAGGCAGGACCATGGCCTGTCACTTCCCGGGGCAGGCAAGCAGGATGCAGGCACCCTCAGGCCATGTTTCTAGCCTTTGCATCCTGTCCTCTGGCTTCAGAGCACAAAGTACTCAAACATGGTTTAGTCTGAGTGGGAGGGTCACGCGGCTTCCAATGCAAGCTTTCTCGAAGGTAGAGAAATGTCATCAGTGAAGAGGTCTGAGGCCACCTGCGTCCACTTTGGACTGTTTCTCCTAATACTGGCTCTTCTCCTCCATTGTGAAAAGAAAGGAAGTCGGTGATTCCCCCTCTGCCCTTAACCCCTCGAGGGCTGAGAAACACAGGACCAGGCACAACCACTTCATTCTGGACCATTTCACAATGAAACCACACACCAGAGCTCATGTCCCCACGGTGGTATCCCCGCGTGCCCGGTGCCCATAGTCTGGGATCGGCAGGCGTGGCTGACAGAAGAGACTGCTGGGAGTTGCTGCTTGAAGAGCATGTGTAACCGGATTACACACCTCACGCTTCAAGCCTCTGCTAGCTGATTAGATGCTTCGGTTCTGAGGTTCATAATTTGAGTTAAACTTAGGGAAGTTGTCTAACCACTTCAATTCCAGAGCCAAAGAGACCAAGAGCTGCCCCAGAGGAAACAGACAGGGTCGGGACAACCTAGAGGATGCCTCTCTAACCACCAGCATGGGGAAAACCAGGTCTTCCACCCAGGCCAGTGGGTACCCAAGGCTCCCCGGCTGCATTAGGGTTTCTGGGCTCGGCAGCAGCTTTCATGGGTCATGGCGATCTTTGCTATCCCCACGTCAGAGACTGGGACAGCGAATGAGAACCAACTAACTCCACTAAGCAGCAGAAATCCGAGCCAGGATTCCCAACTCGGCATTCCCCTGCTTCACTTTGGCCAGCCCCTGCATTCCCAGGAGCTGATGCTAGGGCAGAGCCTTGCCACCATTCTGTCCCTTCTAACCTTCCATCAGCTGACTCCCGCTCTGCCATCTCACCCAGCTTCCGGGAGTGAAGACAGGAAGCCCTGGCAGGGCGGCTTCACAGACCTTCATAGTCTGGGACAAGCTACAGCTCCAACCTCCCTCCTCCTCTTCCCTCTTAAGAAAAATATCAAGCCAACATTTCACACACATCCACCAAATAATTCTCTTGGCAGTTCATACTGAGCAGCCAAGCGCCCACCATGTCCTAGGCAAAGGCCTCGGGTCCACTACAGAACCCTGTATGAAGTAAGTTCTAGAAGAGACTCCACCTCTCCGCACACCTTCCCCAAGGGGACATGAGTTCCCTGAGGACAACTGGGAGCTGAGGAAAGTTTAGCCAGCAGTCCAAGTCGCTTCACCTGTCCTTCCTTCCCGCTCTCCACACACACCTTCTTAATCATGGGTGTGGCCTTGTCATCTTAGAGAAAGACCCCTGGGAGACTGCAACCCTGCAACATGTTTCTGGCTGCACCCATGTTCCCGATACTGCTAGCAGCCCAGCTAAAAGAGGACTTCAGACTCCAGCTCCGTGTCAGGAGGCCATAATCAGCCAACCAGAGTCAGGTGTGCCACTAGCAACGCCCGCCTAGTCCACTCCACCTGAGGAAATCTCAGACTGGAGCATGCCCCTGCCTGTGTCCTTATCTTATCAGGGTGGCTCCCCTCTCTCTTCCAGGAGAAGAGAAACAGGCCCCTCGCTGGAGGGCAGTCAGGCACAGCTCCCCGGTACCAGCTTGCCCCAGCTGTTGGCAATCCCTGCCTTGTGAGGCGCTGTCAGGCGCGCAGCGATTAGACGGCTGCTTGCCTAATGACAGGGCGATGGCCGCATTCACTCGGAGCCCAAGAAGCAATTACCTTGAAAATGGGGGTCACAGGCCCCACTCGTGGGCTTTAATTGAATTCCAATATCTGCCTAGGGCTGCCTTGACCTAACTTGTAGCTTCCTAAACGCTACTTAAAGGAACTGGAGCCAATCCAATGGTGCTGCCTCCCACTTTTATTCTTTTCTTTAAGAAGAGTATTTTCGTATATGGGTTTTAATTCCAAAGTGGAAGGGAGAGAAGGAACTCGATGGCAACCCCTCTAGACTGGTGAAAGAACTTGCCCTGGAGGCCTCCAGGAGGGGCCTGGAAGGGAACGCAGACAAGGAGCTGGATGAGAAAGGCTTCTGGAGACATCCTGGGGCTTATGCCCACCTCTAACTTCCTGTGCCACCACCGTAGGACCCAGGCCATGCACAAGGATGCTCTAGACAGGCAGGGAGAGCGCGCGCTCAGGTTGGCTTGATGGCTAAATCTCTGCAAAATAACAACACTGCCAAGCCAGTGGTCTTCAACCAGAGACCCTTTGCCCACATAGATATAAGCAACATCTGGAGACATTTGGGGTGCATAAGAATATGTGTGTGTGGGGGGGGGTGCTATCTCACTCAGAGGGTACAGAGCAAGGCTGTTGCTGAATATCCAAAAATGCACAGGGCAACAAACAATTATCTGCTTCCGAATTTCAACAACGCCAGACCATGGGTTCTATGTTCTGGTAAATCACACCCCACCCCCTTCTCAGGAAATCCTAATTAAACTCAGTAAAAGGGGACTTTTGGGAAGAAGGGGGTTCAGAGGAACTGGCAAGATTACAAGTAGACAGTGGGGGAGGGGCAGTGAGGTAGATCAGAGGCTGAAAATGCTCCCTGCCAGACCCGACAGCTTGACTATGGGGTCCCACACAGTGGAAGGACAGAACTGGTCCCGCGTAGCATCCTTCGACAGCCAACACACACGCTGACACACACGAGCACACACGGGTTCAATAATAAATGTAAAACAGTCCTTTTTCAGAAGAGGGTAGTGGGGGTGAATAGGCTCAAACCACACTATATGTATGATGAAACTGTCAGAGAATAAGCTTTATAAAATATTTCCTAAACGAGAACCCTGGACTAGATGATCACAGAAGACTCTTCAAGCTTGAAGATATCATGGTTTCTCTCCCTAGAGTGCTGCTTCCCAGCACCAAGCCTCTTGCCCTCCCCGCCCCCAACACCACCAAGAATCAGTGCAGGCTTAAGCCCTCCCCTGACTCCAGCAGAAGGAACCCACTAAGGGCGCCTCTGCCAAAAGACTTGTCCAGGTTCCATCCAGGTGTATAGCTGAACCTCACAAGGCCGTGTGAAGAGAACTCAGCCATGCAGCCCAGGGCACGGAGTAGCAGGACCCCCAACCCCAATACTGTCACAGCACGGTGCACATCAATAAACAGCAGAGATGGTTCTGACCCCAGGAGACCAAAGAAGGGCAGCCCAGCCTTGGGGGGGGGGGGGGCGGCAGCAGCTAGGCACTTCCTCCTGGAAGTCTGGAAGATGCCAGGGGATGAATGACATAACAGGGAGACTTGAGATGTGTCTCGTATTTTTTTAGTTTGTGGACTAGGAGACAATGTGGAAAGAGCCCAATAGATCCAAGCCCTCGAACTGTGGGTCATGGGGCTGCCATTCTTGGAGAGCACCTAAGGTCAGAGTTCATCTCTGGTTATGGCAAATGAGAGGAATAAAAGGGCTATACACACGGTGAGAGGCAGATTGGGGAGTCCACGTACCCCGATGATGGCGTTCAGTTCCGTCATGGTGACCTGCTTGGCGCGTTCCACGGCCTGCGCCACTTGCTGCTGATGCTGGGGGGAAATAAAGTACGATCAGGTGTGGCCATCCTCAGTATCCTCTCACTGGGCACCAGGAGCCTCTCAGGACCCTTCCCCAGACGGCCCAGGACACAGGCATAAGGGTGGCAGGCGAAGTCATTCTTCTTTCAGTCTTTGTAATGAGAATGAACGGCTTTCTAAGGATGATAGCGCCATAGATCTCCTCTACCTCATACACAGGAAAACCTTTATTCTGTGAAATATGAACATAAGCTGGATGCCGCTGCATACTGGAGTGATTGCTTTCTAGGCACGGAATCATTACTACAGACATGTAGAACATCCAATTCCAGAACATGCCAATAGTGGCTAGTGGTGAATTAGAACATGTGGGATTTACATTCAAAGGGCTGAGAAGAAACGTGGATCTGGTCTATGGCTACCAAGAGGGAGAGCAAAAAGTAGCTAGAAAGAGAACCGTGAAAATGGCTGAAGGAATTCTTAACAGGGTCACAGACTTCTGAATGCAATGATGTGTTGGCGTAGACTCGAAATTCTAACAAATACCAAACCCTGGTAAGGGGAGGCTATGGGAAACCTTTGTATTTTCCATTCTATCTTGCCAAACCTAAAGCCCATTATTAAAAATTACATTTCATAGATTCCCTAGAGCCCTGTAGTAGCATCAGTCACACACAATGTCATCTCCCTTTCTGGGTACCCAAGGTACTGCCATACCTAATTCTTCTAGTTATTTCACCAGAATCTGGTCACTACCTCAGCTTCAGACCCCCACCAGGGGGAGCGGAGGGTGCATCCTGGCCCTGCTTGTGTTGGAGTGGGATCAGACAGGACAGAAACAGAGGCCAATGAGATCAACCCATCAGTCTGCTGCTCCGTACTTCCGGAGCAACTTTCGAGATTCTCCCCTCAAAACGCCCTTGCCTCCTTTGGGGGTTCTCAAGAGTAAAGTGACAAGACTTGCTTGCCATTCCTTTGGAGAGGGTACTTTGCACCTGGGGAGTCAGCAACCCACACAGGGGCTGACCTTTGCCACCAACCAATCAGCCTCACTGGAACCAGGTATAGGGAAAGCAGAGGCCAGTGAGGCCGTGTGGGTAGGACGTCGGGCACGGTGCCCATCACTGTTGCAGATGAAAACCAAGACCCTCCTCCCAGATCTCAGGTGTGGCAGGAGCACTCTCCCATAGACAAAGGAGCACCGGGTCCCTGTGATGTGAGCCCTGACCCGTGATTGGCTGGAGAAGGTTTGCCAATCCTATCAGCCTATCAGTATGATAGATTGGACTGAGCTCAGGCTGGAGGGAGACCTGTGCTGCCCTGGGCAGAAGAGGAGGAAACAGAAGAAGGTCTTACCTCTTGTGACAGGAAGGGCATGATCTGGGCTAAAATTGTGTTCAGTCTCTTTGCAATCTCTGTCTGCAAAGGAAAAAGAGACCACAAATAAATCAAGACACTGAAACACTGAGACAAGTCAAAGTGGTGTATCTCTCACGTGCACGCACACATGCACGCACGCACGCACGCACGCGCGCACTCACACCCACTGCAGCCCCTTACCATGGGCTCCATGATTGCATTTTAGAAAGCTCCCATTTCATAGGGGAGGTGGCCCATGTTGGCAGGTCACAACTGGCATCCTCTATAGAGAATCCCCACTATATATATAAACAAAAACCACTCCACATTTCAGAAAACCCATGACAAAACTGAAATCTAGTGTTGAGAGAATCACTCTGCCCGATGACACCCCAAACTGGAAAGGTCAAAGGCAAAAGAGCCCCTGGACATGACGGAGTGAAGGGATCCCCCAGAGCCAGCATCACCCTCATCTTCCACTTTCAACATTGCTTCTAACCATGGCAGAACAACCAGAAAACACACTGGTAAGTCTTCAGCTCTTAGGGCCGACTCGAAGAATGGAACCCAGTGGTTCCCTACACCTTGATAAAGGCTGCTCACAGAACAGCAGATCAATTCTCTGCCTACCCCGCGTATCAGCAAAGCCCATGCTTAGAATACCAAGAGCTTCCAGCAGGACCATGTGCGACTCAGAGCTCAGATCAAGACTGCTGCTAAATGGTTAACTGAACCCGACAGGAAGGCTTGGGACGCTGACAGATGACTCTTGGAATTGGCTTTCTTATCTTGTCTGAATCCTGAGCAGCCGGGACTCAGGTCTCAGAGCGGCCTTCAAAGCTTTCATCAGCATGCAGCGATCTTTCAGACAAAACCATGACAACAGCCTTTTAAAAACCTGTGATCATCTGCATGTCAAATGATTCTGCATGCGAAATCTAGCGTGCCTCGGTAAAACAATGCCCTCTGAGGCCCCACCAACAGAAGCTGGCCTTGGGCAACCCCTGGGGCCAGCACCCCTTCCATCATCTCCGGGCACTAAGGGCACTAAAGAATATGTCTCCAGTTTGAGGCGAGAACAGGTCCTGACAAAAGCCTGAACAGGCTAAGGCAGCCCTGTGTCCTGTGACTACAAGAGTCAGGCAATCCAACCCAGAGAACCTGCCCACCAAACTGCAAGTTCCTGGTGGAGCTAGGGCCATGAAGGAACATCTGGGTCTCCTCAGGAACAGGGCGTTTCCCAGCAGGCACTGGTCCGAGCATTTGTAGCAAAACCATTCATTACTGTGAAGGGCTGTCCCTCAAACCCCAGGCCAACTGTGTCAGTATGGTCCCCAATTTCCAAGCTTTCTGGGAGTAGGGGCAAGCAGCATTCCAGCTGAGAGCTGGTGGGACCCGTATTTACCCAACAGTGGCAGACAGCCACACGTCAAGGTTTCTCAACCTCGCTGGCCATAAATTGTTTGCCCCGTTGGGTTGTCTTGTATATTGCAAGATTCTTAACCACAGTTTGACTCTGGCCTTTTTTCCAAGTAGTCTGCCACTTGTGCTACAAGGACCCTTGGAGGATCACTTCGCATAGCCTAAGTCAGCCTACATATGCAGGAAGAACTGTACCCCGAAACCAGGGCCCTCTCACTTGCTCACTTCTTCTGCCGACAAGGGTGAAAGGCAGGAGTGAGAGTCAGAGCTCTAGCATCAACGAGCAAGCCGACGTCGCACTCTGAACTGACCGAGAAGGAATTCGCTCGCGTCACATGTGCTAACTAGGAACAGGAGGACCTATACAGAACAAAACACCAACACATCAGCCCGGCTGTCTCAAACAACCAAAGGCCGGGGAAACAGTATGTGCTCAATAAATATCTGGCCAAAGAATAACGTAACTAGCATTTATTCTTTTTCTCTCGTGTCTGTGTGGTGCGCGCCTGCTGCCTATGCGTGTGGAGGCCAGAGCCTGACACCTGGCATCTTTCTCTTTCACCTTCCATTTTTTGAGACTGAATCTGGAGCTCACCACTACAGCGAGACTGGCAGCCAATGAGCTCCTTGGATTCTCCTGACTCCACAAACCCCAGTACAGGGCATCAGTGACTGAGCCATCTCCTCAGCCCCACTGTGTGTGTGTGTGTGTGTGTGTGTGTGTGTGTGTGTGTGTGCGCGTGTGAAAACTTCATGTTGTAGAGTGTCTATGGTGATGATTCCTGATGTGAGCAACATGCTGTGATGGACAAAGTGTTGACAGACAGCTGGTAGGAGGAGTGGAGGCGGGCAGTGGCTCAAATACTTTATCAACAGGGTAAGAGTATAAGCCAAGCCAGGCCAACCACAAGCCAGCTCACTGGGTCTCTCGTTGCCCCATCAATTCCCCACATACACAGGCAGGAAAGCAGAGGCCAACTCTGTCCCCTGGCAGTCATTTGACCTACTACAGCTCACTACAGCTCAGAGCTTACCTCCTCTAAAGCAGGTCAAGGGTCAGGGTCTTGGTAGGGAAAGTAAAGAGTTGGCCCTTCCCTGAACCTGCAGCGAGCTCGTGACCGCCAGGTTCCTACAGGGGACTTCTCACACCTTGCCAGGCCCAAAGCCCTGTATCTTCTGTCATTAAGAAAAGGGATCCCCTGGGATTTTGCACAGCCATGTTCATGTCAAGGCCTGCAACTCTGGCCACCAAGTGACCACAACTGGATTGCCAGGGGCCCTGTGGGTGGCTGAGACGAAGCTGTCACTCAGTGTCACTCCTACTTCATCTTCCATCACCACAAACACCAACTAAGCACGAGAACTATAGAAGTCCAGAAGCCTGTGGAACTGACACCCAAACCCAAGCGTGACAGAGATGCCACTGGCTGGCACGAAGGACTTAGACAAATCACCAAGAGCACCGGGGGGGGGGCACACACCTGGAATACACCAGGTATTTTACAAGCACCAGGCTTCCCTGTCTTGGGACTTGGGCTTGCTTTTGCTTCTGTTTCCTGCCCTTCCTCGGGGCCCGAGCTGCTGGCCACTAAACCTTTCTTCATCTCCTCTCGACAGAGAAGCACAGACTGAGCTTGCCCCGTCTTGTGCCCAGGCCGCTCTGTACTCCAATAAGCCCAAAGATGGGCATAAAAACCGTTTACCAAACCATTTCTTGGGAGGGTCATGTTAGGGCAGTGGTTCTCAACATGTGGGTCGCAACCCCTTTGGGGAGACGAACGGCCCTTTCAGAGGGGTTATCTATCAGATATCCTGCATAGCAAATACTGTGATTCATTAATAGAAGCAAAATTACACTTATAAAGTAGCAACAAAAACAGTTTTACGGCTGGGGGTCACATGAGGAACTGGACTAAAGGGCCTCAGCATTAGGGAGGTCGAGAGCCACTGTTCTAAAGGGGAACGAGCTGCCCAGACAGAGTCAGTGTTAAGAGTAACAGGGAAGCACCCATCTAGCTGACCGCTACCGGCACTCTGCATGGCAGCTCTCACAGCCCTGCCGGAAGACACCCACCAACAACCTCTATCCTCCAGATGGGGAGACTGACACTCGGCAGTTAAGCGACTCCGCTAAATGACTTTCGGCCAGGAAGCCAAATTTCAGTAGGTTGAGACAGGGCAGAGAAATGTTTTTGAAAGAAAATCGACCGTCGAGGCTAATGATTGACAGCATTTCTGATTACCACAGCTGTCCAAACAGCATTCGATCCAACTCAAACAACCTCTAAGCACCCGCTCCAAAGAAAAGGGGGACAAAAATCTAGATGTGTGATTTCGACAATTAGGACAGGCCACAAACCACAAGCTGGAGCCAGAGTGCGTACGAGAAAACTCCAGCACTCAGGCCCAGTCTGTTACCAGTGTGGCAGCTGGGGCCCGGCAAGCCCAACCCATCCTCCCCACGACCTGGGAACACAAGGCATCTCTGCCTGCGAGCCAGGTCTTCAGATGCACCTGAGATATGGCAGGAGGGGAGGGCGGCCTGCTTTGAACATTCTAGTGAGAGGTGTCTGGGGAGGCTGCTCTGGCCTTTCAAAGTACTTCTCATGTACAGTTCAAAGGTGGTGACGCTGCTGGTAGACAGCCCCATTACTGATCTCTGAGATACAGGCAGAAGCAGTCAGGAATGGGCCGGGGTCCCTTTCTGAGTCTGCGCTACCAACTGGGCACTGGGGAGGAACATCTGCCCCGAGTCTCTGTTGAGATTGTTAGGCGAATAAATGACACAAAACAAGATAGTGGGGGGCAAGTGTAATTTCCCAAAGAGCAATCTGTTTCCTGTGCCTTCGTAGCTCTTGTTTGCACGTTCCTCTTGTCATTAAAGCAGGACCGCTGGATGTCTGGCCAAAAGCTGAGGATACCCGAACACCCAGAAAGTGCGTGTCTATAAGAGCAATCTACTACCTGCATCCACTCCAACTTTAGGTCATCCCTGACCCTTGACCTCTGACACTGAGTTAAGGAGGGGATGGAGTCAACTCTTGGTCCTCACCCCCAGCATTCACTGCTGCGGCTAGCCGTTCAGCATCCAATCAGCTGTTGGCCCATTTGCCTCCTGTAACTGACCATGTTAGATACAGTACAGAGTCTCCAACAGCCACTCCACTGCTAGCTAGCTTTAAACTGCCCCGTCACGTCTACCTGCGGACTCAGAGAGCGCATTTCACCTGAACCTCAGCCAGACCAAAAACAAAGCGGGGGAGAAACCTGCCAGTTTAAGGAGCACCGAAAGCTACAGCTGGAAGAAATGGCCCAGCTTCTATTCCCACCGAGTTTAGGCAGACCACTTCTCTTCTCTGGGCTTTCACGTTACCTGGAAAAGGGAAGGGTAGACCAGGTGGCTCATTTAGGTCCCAGGGACCAGATTCAGACTTTAGACAGCCACACACTTCTGAGCGGCCTGACTCACTGTGTGACCTCCCACTTCCCACTAACTTCAGACAGCTCTGCAAAGCAGAGCGCCACATAAGCGCCTAAATGGAAGAGCAGTGGGGGTGTGCCAAGCCACACTCTGGCAGCTGGATGAAAGGACCAGATAGTGGGCAGGCAGGCTTGCTGTGGTGCTGGCCAGGGTTGGG